ACCTCCAGGGTCATGGAGCTAGCAGAAGGCAGAGCTGGCTGCAGAGCTAATGTTCTCACTTGCCATCTTTGTTCCATCCGGGAGGGTTGTGATGGTTCCTACATCCTGGGGAGAAATGCCCAGAACCAGCCAACAGCCAACAGAAAGGAGTTTTGTCAGCAGGCTGGAGAATGCAGGGATGGCAGGAACCCTGGCCTGGGGCTTAGGGAAGCCACAGAGATATGCAACCCCCCCCCCCCCCCCCCCCCCCCCCCTCCTTTTTTGGGGGGGAAAGCATCCTCTCCCCACTCACTCCTGCTCTGCTCCCCCAATCCCACTGGGCCTGGGTTCACATGAAGAAGCCTCCTCTTGGGCCTCCCAGTTGGTGCTGAGCAAACCATCCCAGAGAACCAAGGCAAGGAACAGCTTTGAATCACATGGGGGTGGAACAGAGGGCTCTGTCTCCATATCTTGACCTAAATTGGCCCAATTCCCAGTCTCTTCCCCACTTGAGGTTTCTGGGTGCCTTTAGATGATTCTGGAAGCAAAGCCACTCTGGTCCATTTTTTCCATCATCACAGTCCCTGCCTCTTGTTAAATTGTCCCTTGATGTGTCTGTCCCTGGGAGTCTCGGAGCAGGGAGAGCCCATAATTCAACTGAGAGTGGCCAAGCATGCATCTGGTCCTCAGAAATGTTTATTGCATTAACAGATGACATGCTCACTTCCTGTTTCCAGGTAATTCTCTGCTTTATTTGCTCCGAGTTCACACATGGCCCAGGGTAGGAAGTAGCTTGGTGCAATGTTTAGACATCATCAGACACAACATCCTCTTTGTGATTCTCTCTCTTTTTTTTTTTTTCCAAAGAAGATTAGAAACTTTCATTCTAGATGGATCCTCAGTTGAGGTTTTGTGATTTCAGAGGGCAGGGAGGATATTCAAGAAAGCCAAACTTCACTGTAGATATTGTTTCTGAATTTCTAATATTTTTCATCTCTGAGAAATTCATGAAAAAAACCTAAGAGAGCCAGCCTTGCCCAGGGTAGGGAGCCAGAGCCCCGACAGACAGGGGCAGGAAGCTGGACCAGGCAAAAGCAACTGGGTTGTTGAAGCAGACAGGCCTCCCAGAAGTGTCTACAGGGCAAGATTCCTGCAATGAGGGTCCTGAAGCCAGCAGGTGTTCCTGTAGCAATGGGGACAAAGGGGTCAGCTAATTTTCCTCCAGTCAGGGAGAGGAGTGAGCTCAACAAATGTGGGTAGTTTTCCAAAGTACCAATTATTGCCTTTGGTAGTTCATAAAGTCTTTATAGTACCCCTTAGAGGCAGTAGGTTAGGAGCTACCCTTCTCATGGAATTGATGGATAAACTCAGCCCAAGGATGCCTCCATTACAGCTGCTTTACCAACCTTCCAGCTAACTTCACCTTATGAAAAGAAGAAGATATCACTAGAAAGGCAGCCTGCAGTGGCAAAAGCTTGAACAGGGCAGTTTGGGAGATGGCACAGTCTGGATCCTGGATCTGACTCCCTCATCCTAACCTGCCTTATTAGTTAGGGGTCTGTTGTCCTCTGGCCCTCTCCGTGGCACCTTGCCAGGAGTTCCAAGGCTGCTGCTGCCTCTTCTAGAACTCTTCTTATGGGGCCGAAGGAAATGAAGAAGGAAAAAGGAGAAAGGAAGAGAGAGACAGTGCTCTGTGTGATAGAAGTCAGTTCCCTAGAAAAGACCTCAAGAGGAAATTGCCTGTCAAATGATTTCAAGGAAATGGCATTTTGACAACAAGCAAATGAGGCTTTTCTCCCACTTCCTGCCATCCATCTCCATTTTTCTCTTTTCAGCCTCTTCTTCTTCCCTTGATTCATTCCTCTGGCAAGCAGGGTCTCTCTCCCATACTCCCTCTGACTCCCCCAGGGTCAGCTGAGAGCTGACCATGGAAACCCCAAATCTAGGATGGTGCCAAATTCCTCTCTGCCTCCCCCAGGACCTGGATCCGGACATGACTCTGCCAGTAGTCAGCAGGGAGGACAGGGAAGCATGCAGAGCCCAGAGTCCTATCATTCCAGGCCTCACTCCTAAGGTCTTCACTCTACACTCTGCTAATTTACCTGTGACTCTGGAAGCTTAGTCTGTCTGGGTCTCCATTTCCTCATTGGAGGCAAAGTCTTTGGGTCCTGTGGTTCCATCATGCCCTGCGCATAGATGGGCTGAAACGGACTTGCATGGAGACATGTGCAGACCAATAGCATCCTGAAGGTTTGACCCTGAGATACAGGTAGGATCTGCCTGCAAGGGGTCCCCCGCCGGCCAGGCAGAGGTGGAGGGCAAGAGAATCAGCCCCAGAGCAGAGGAAACACTGCTCAAGGAAGCTACTTCTGCTGCTCTTCCAGCCTGCGTTTCCCTGTGTCTGGAGGTAAGGGTGTCTGGAAGTAAGGCTGTCTAGGGTGAAGCAGATTCACAAATCTCTTTTTTTTTTTTAAGGTAACAGAGATGAGACATCAGCAAAGCACAATTATCAAGGAGCTGGCTCATCCCTCTGCAACTTCACGTGGGCAGAGCTTCCCACAGTGCCACAGCCTACGCTTCCAGAGAAAGCTGATAACTAAGTGCCTATCTTGTGCGGTTCCTGGGACTAGACTCCCATATGTCAGTCTATTTGACCTCACAACCCAGCCACTCTGGGGGCAGATCTTATCATTGCTATTGGACAAATGAGGAAAGAAAGGCTCAGAAGGATTAAGAGATTTGTCCAAAGTCAAACAGCAAATGAGTGGCAGAGCTGGGAGTAAACTCTGGCATTGGGACTCCCAAGTCCACCACACTACTGTTGTCATTGCTGGAGACCCATATGAGTAGACACTAGCTCTGTCCTAAATACTTCACAGAGATCTTATTCAATTTCTGTAACACCTTGGGTGAGAAAGAGGAATCAACATCTCCACTTTATAGACACTGAAGCTGACAGAGGTTTGTCCAATGTGACACAGCAAATGACTGGTAACTTGAAGTGGTGGGGTCAGGTTCAAACTTGGGTATGTAAGAGACTTCCGTAGAGGGGGAATGAGGATCCCTTGTAAGCATTGTCACGGAGGGTGGCTGGCTTCTCTTCCAGAAGCAGAGCTGGGTTCCAACTTCAATCTCAGTGAGCCTGGAGCAAGGTTGGGTTGGTGAAGGAGGAAGCAAGTAAATTCGCCTCACTTCTCCAGTCTGCAAGCTTATCTTTTTCACACGACTTCCGCTAACCTCTTATCAGTCTTAAAAACTGTGGTGTCAACATGTTATCTTAAGCATCATTGTACAGGACTACTTGAAAGAACATTCCCCAGGAGGGAAGTAAACCCTCACCCTCCTTCCTCTGGCTGGGCTTCTGCCTCTGTCTTCCTCTATGAAGGCTCTGAGCACCCACTCACTTCTCCATGCGCCTTAGCTTCTGATGGCTCACAAGCCTGTGAACTCAGCGTCCACTTGGCATGGTCACCAATTGTTTACTCAGGGTCCAGCACAGGGCCTGGCCTATAGTAACTACTTAGTGCACATTTATCAAATAAATGAATTAGTCCTCTTATTCAATTCAACCACCATTAATTGAGTACCTCTGTGTGCTAGCACTGTTGATTCAGAGGTAAGCATGGGTGCCACCAAAGGAAATTTCAGTCCAGATAGGAGCAGAATATAGCCATCAGTATCATCTTAACCCTTTTTAAAATAATGTAGGGAATGTGTGCATAATAAACAAATTCTCACAACCACCATGAGGAATAAGCCAATTCCAGTGGGAACATAGGAAAAAGAAATTATTGATTTACCTGGGGAGTCACAGAAGGCTTTGTCGGAGTAGGACGAGATGTGATTTTTGTCTTAAAGGGTGAATTTGCCGAAAGGACAACCCAGGAAAGAAGCCTTTGGAGAAGAGGGGACCATCTGAGCAAAGGATGTGGGTGCAAGCTTATAGCTTGAGGCTGAAGCAAGGGATGTGTAAGGCAACTGAGAAAGATGCCTCTTCAAAACCAGGCCAGGCATCATATATTTCCCAGAGGATGGAGTGGGCAGCCTCACAGAGGGACTGAAGTACATTGGATCATAATGAATTGAAGACAGAAAATTTTCCTGATGTTGTCATTATAATTAATAGGCTTCGCTCATCTCAATGATTCATTTAGATTCATTCTCATGTAAAGACAAAATGTGGTTAATCAACTCAGTAGATGCATTTCCACAAGGTGCCAGGTGCAGAGCCTTTCCCATCTGAGCTGGGTTTGATGGTCAGGAAGGAACACAGGTCCCAGTCAGCATTGACACTATCCGCGGCCAAGTGCCTCAAGTGTCTCTTGGCACAGAGAGCAGAACCTCCCAGTTAGCTGTCACAGGACACGGCCCCTCCTCTCCTGGCCAGGTAGCTGGTCTCCAGACCCTAGAACGGGGCCGGGGTGGGGTGAGGGAGCTCAGCGGGCTTATTGGCTGCATAGTGAAGGGGGCTCAGGCTCCTTGAGGGGCATACTGCAAGGGGTTTGTCTTCTCAGAGGGTTTGTCTTCTCTTCCCAGTGCCTATCCCTGCTCTCGGCCCATTTCCTGCTCAGATTTGGGGATTTTCTGGCCTAGAGGGAAAGTCCCTCGGGACTAGCATTAGAAAGAAGGTAATTGCCCCGATCCGAGGCCTGGAGAGCGAGGAAGGAAAGGCTGTGTCTAGAGAGGGCTCGGGGAAGGGCGGGGTGGGGAGGGCAGTGGAACCCGCGCTTCTTTCCGAAGGCTGCAGAGTGGAGCACAGAAAACAGCGCGACTGGGTAGACCAGCGAGCGAGCGGGGACGACCGGCCGGCGGGGTGGGGGAGGGGAGGCGGCTCAGTGGGCCTGCGAAGTCTGAGTGTGTGAGTGTGTGTGTGTCTGTGTGTGTGTGTGTCAGTGCGTGTGTGTGTGTGTGTGTGCGCGCGTCTGGCGCCTGGCCAGGGTGATTTCCCATAAACCACATGCCCCACGAGCCCGCCCGCTTAAAAGGCTGTGCCGAGGGCTGGCCAGCTAAGCTCGGCGGGCGGAAAGTGAAAGTTTGCCTGGGTCCTCTCGGCGCCGCCGCTGAGCTCTCGACACCCCAGGACTGCGGCGCGGCCTTCGGCCGGGGCGCGGACTCTGCATCTGCGAGCGAGCGACCGACTGAGGGCGGCCGACGCGCCCGGCCGGGACCCAGCTGCCCGTATGACCGCGCGGGGCGCCGCCGGGCGCTGCCCTCCCACGGTAAGAGGCAGCCAGCGCGGGACCCGGCAGGGCTGGGGCGGAGGCTCGGGGGCCGGCGGCCCGACGCGGCCCCTTGGAGCCCACGGCCGGGGCGCGCCAGCTGCCCGGGCTCTCCTGCAGCGGCCGGGGGCTCCGGTTTCTTAACCGCCTTTGCGCACCGACTGCCTAGGGGTTCCCTGCGCTCTTGGGCTGAGGCCGTTGGCAGCCGTACTGCTGCTCCTGGGGCTGCAGCACTTTCCTGGTAAAGGGAAGGGTGCACATCCCATTGCACGGAAGGGAACACTGAGCTACCCACGGTAGGAGATAGGGATTCGCAGCCGAGGGTGGAGGCCCGGTATCAGCCAGGACGCCCTGCTTCACTCCAAGCACAGCAGCCGGCTGTGCACTGAGTGATGCGGCCCCCAGTGGGCATCTTCCCTCAACCATGCACGTGCTTCCAGGCCCTTTTGGAGGAGTGGGTGCTTCCGGATGGGGAAAGTTGAGGGGTCACCCAACTTTAGAATGACAGCGCCTGTGCCTGAGTAACCTGCTGGCAGAGGGAAGGAAATGGGCAAGTTACTATTTGTTCCACCCCACAGAGGAGCTGTTGGCGACTCCGGTGACTGTTTTGGGGTTAGCCAGAGATGCTTGGGGTTAGCCCTGAATCTCTTTTTCTTGAAGAGTCAGGTTCAAGGAGTTGAGGAGATCCTGGAATTTGTGTTAGTTTAGGAAGGTGGAAGGAAGGTTTGAGGTTGTAGAGCTGGGGATGGGCCACTTAGGACTGCATAGGGGACACCCTGCTCCAACAGTGGCAGCAGCAGCAGCAACTCCTAGAAAGTGCAGGGTTGCATTGCAAGTGAACACTTGACTGGTCGCATAATGTGTCTGCTTCTAAGCAGTTCTGGAAAAGAGTCACAGGAGAAAACTGGGGAGAAAGGAGCAAAAAAATACTTGGGGGATAGAGGAGAAGGTTGTAGGTGGGAAAAGAGAGAGAAGAGTGGATCCACATTGGAGGGAGCCCCCAACTGAGAGTTGGAAGATGGGATGGAGAGGGAAAAGGGGAGAGGGTTAGGCCATAGGCAGTAAGGCAAAGAGAAGGGGCTGGAGGTGAAAGGTGAAGGAAAGAGGAGGCAAATGCAGGAGGAAAGAAAAGGGGCCAGGTTTAGACAGGGTCATTTGATGGCCCAGTCATGCCAGGTCTCTCCAGAGACTGTGGAAGGGAAAGATGGAATGGGATGGTGGTCGTTGATGAGCAGCTGTGCGAGATGTCCTGCATCTCTCTGAGCCCGAAGCAGAGATTCCTTCTGAGGGCTGTTCCCACAGGCAGAGGCTGAGGTGGTGGGTGGGAAGAAGAAGGAAGCCGGGAAGAGCCTGCCCAGCTAGATGCAAGCTAGATCATTAACCCTTGGGTGCCGGTCCTGATCCTTTAGGATTGGCCCCCTTCAGCCATCTTCAAAGCCAGCCTTTCCCCACACTGATGCCTGAAATACTACCCAAAGCCAGACAGCCCAGGGGGGTTAAACATTGCCTTCAACTTTCTGTCCTTACACATCAATGTCTTGAAATGCCTGGGGTGAGGTTGTCTTCCTGAACATCCTTTCCTTCCCCAGAGGCCCTTTCTTTCCTACATACCAGTTACACCAGGGGCTCAGAGCCTCAGCGGTAGCCAGCATGGGGCAAAGCCAGCCTCTGCATGGCTCAAATTCCTCTAACCGGTCCTGTGCCTGAAGTTCCTGAGGGCCTGGGCAACTGTTCTCACCCAGGGCTATCTCCCCAACTGCCAGACAGAGCCTGAAGTCTGCCACAGACCATGGCTGTTCTACTTCCTCTCAGGACCCTCACAGGCCCCGTGCTGAATGGCACTGAGCCACCTTGTGTCTCTTCCCTTCAAACCTTCCTCCCTCTCCTGTCATCAACTTCTCCCTATCTTTTAAAGCCTCACTAAGGTCCCTCCTCCCTGCAGTTTCCCTGGTAGCCCAGTCAGAGCTGCCTGTCCCCCCTGGTAAGAACTGGCAAGGCGCTGGGCTTTTAAATATAAATCAGCCTGTTGGTATGGGCTGCTTCGTAGCCTCCCTGTGTTTTTCCAATGTGCTACTTATTTGCAGTATTTGTCTCATCATCTGGATTACTGGGGCAAAGCCCAGAGCCCAGGAAAGTGCCAGCCCTTACCCCACCCTGCCAGCATTTCCCTGAATCTGGGGGCATCAGTTGTCAGGAGGCTCAGGAGCTCTTAAGAGGCAATCTCAAGCTAAGGAAAGAAAACACAAGGGTCCCTCTTCCTCTGGCTAGAGAAGAGGAACCCTAGTTCCAGAGATAAAGATGAGGGGACATTGAGGAGGAAAATGGAGAGAGAAGAAGGAAGGGCAAAGACAGAATATCAGGAGCCAGTCCCATCACCCTGGTGAGGAGCAGGTGGGTGCTGAAAGAGAGGAGAAGACTTCTCTGCCATGATAAGAGCTGGCTGGCTGGTGAAGAACCTGGTGGGAGTCTGATAGGCAGGTGCCAGCCAGGGATGGTGCAGAGCTGGCACTACTGCCTCTGATTAATCAGTTGGGTTCCTTTTGAAATATACACCCTGGCTCCAGGAGGTGTGGGATGAGTTGCTAATGAAATTGTGTTTGGTCCCCTGGTCTTTTCTTGTGGCAAAGTCAGACCTGCATGGAACCAATTGGGAGGAAGGCATAGGCCCCTGGGAGAATTGTCTCTAGCTTGTCATCTAGAAGTTGGGGCATGAACATGAACTCGAGGGCAGCTTAAGGTGCTTGGCTCTGTGTTGATGTTGCAGGGATAAAATGATGGGTAGATGCAAATCCTGCCCTTGAGGAGTTTCCTGTACTGTCAGAATTTTGATAGCTGGGCACACCACCTGCATCATCATTAGAGATGTGATGTGTGGTTAGGCTTGGCCTGGGTTAAATCTGGGAAGATTTCTTGGAGAGGATGACATCTGGGTTGTTATCAGGGAGAGCAAGGTTGTGCCATGGCTGATAGGAACTCCTGATTTGGGGAATGCTGCATCTGGGGGTGTGAGGCAGAGACTACAGCATTGTGGGTATGAGACCTTTGTTTTTCTGTCTCTAGCAGGGCATGGGGGTAGCTGGAGAAAGTGAGAGCCGGGGAGTAATGACACCCTCTCTGTCATAGACATGGCTGGGCCCCTGGCTGCTGCTGGTCTGTCTCCTAGTGAGCAGGAGTATTGCCAAGGAGGTTTCGGAGAGCTGTAAACACATGATTGGGAACGGACACCTACAGTTGCTGCAGCAGCTGGTGAGTGTATGGCCATGCTTTCTCCCCACTGGGGAAACTGAGTCAGGAGCCAGGGAGCAGGGTCAAAGAGAGGAATTGCAGGGAATAGGGCTCTCTAGACCATGGCTCATCTGCTTCTCCTCTCATTGACCTTCCCCAGGTCAGAACCTCAGGAGCCCCAACCCTGACGCCCTCTTTGACCTCCTTGCAGGTGGTGAATAGGATGAGTTTCCGGGGCTGGTTGCCTGAGTTAATGTTAGCCAAAAATGTCCACTGTGGATTCTAAAAGGGCTCCTAAGGCCTGTTTTCCCTCAAGGATTGCCTCTTCGGGGAAGATAGCCCAGTCTTTTTGCTGAGTCCAGATGGTGCCTCTAGCTCTTGGACTCTCAGATATGCCAACAGCCCGGCACCACGGCTCCACCCAGATTTGAAGGGGAGGTTCCTGTCTTACTCCCAGCCCTCCACCCTCACTTCTCTGGCTCTTGCCTTTGACACTGGAATGGCCTGCTCATCTAGCCCATGAAGGAGCCCTTGTCTCATCCTAATCTGACCAACAGAATCATCAACAATCCCAAACATGGTCCATCCAGGCAGAGTCAGGTTGTTGTCATAGCTCCTGTCTGGCTCAAAAGGGAATTTACTATCCTTTTGGTCAGCCAGGCAGGGTGGGGCACCACTGGCTGAGACTAGCTCCCCTTCCCTGAACTTGAAGGCCATGGGCTGGACCTCCAGCCTCTTTTGCCCCTGCACTACTCCTCCTGCATGAAATTGTTACAGCAATCCAAGGTAGACCAAGGGCCACAGCATTTTGTGAGTCTTAGAACACAGACTCCTGCTCTGGGGATAATGGGAATTTTAAGGGCCTCTAGCCCCAGCCCCTACAAATTCTGAATCCCCAGAGCTTGACCAACCTCTGCTTAAATTTCTTCCATGACAGGGTGCTTACTACCTCCAGGGAAGATTGGATCCTGTATTATCCTGTAGATTGATTTTCCTTATAACAAATTGGCATCTGTGATTTCATAGAGTAGGAGGTAGGAGGAGACGGTTTGCTCTTCTATAACCCTCCTCTGGGCATTTGGAAGGCATAGGTCTTCCCCTAACCTTGACTGTCTCTTTCTAGATATAGCAGGGGGGAGGTGGATGAAGTTTGAACCCTAATCCACTGAGAAACTCAGGTCCTCCTTCTAAGGTCAGCTCAGCTGAGTTATAGATATGTTGCAACCACTGGCCTGTTCTCTCTTACAGATTGACAGTCAAATGGAGACCTCATGCAACATTTCCTTTGAGTTTGTAGACCAGGAACAGTTGGTGAGTGGTGATTATCTGCAAAGCCCATGTTCCAGCTTATGTGTTCCTCCCAGGGTGGGGTACATATGGGCGCATGAAGGCATCAGAAATCCTAGAGCTGGACAGGTGTGAGAATTCCTGGATGCTGAATTCTAAGGTGCCAGCATCGGGGCTGGGCAGGCTCCAGGGCTCAGGTTCCCTACTTTTTCCTTTTCCTGGCTGGCACATAAAAGTGTTTATTGTGTGCCAGGCATTTTTCCAAGTTAGTCCTCACAGTAACACTATGTGGTCCATGGATATTGCTTATTGTCCATAGAGAGGTTAAGGGAGCATGACCAGTAAGTGGTAGAGGCATGAGTTGAAGGCCTGTTATCTCCGGAGCCTAAGGTAAACCAATGCACTACTTCAAAATCTCATGTTTTGGAAAAATAAGTTACCGCATTCACCAGACAATCAGCACTCAGGAAGTCAGTCCAGCCAATCTTCCTACCCACACCCAATAAGACACCAAGTGCTTCTGGTTGAGCCTCCTGGCAGCTCTGGTTTCTGTCCTTACAACCCATCAATCAGTTTCAGGACAATTTCAGGAGCCTTCTAAGTGGCCTCCCTAATTCACTAATTCATTCCAGTACACTCACCATCCCACCACTAGGGGGAGTTTTTGAAACCCAAACCTGCTGCCTTTACCCCACCTTTCAGGGTCCCCATCACTCCAATTGAAAGATCAGACTGTCTAGCCTGGTATCTTGAGCGTATAGCCCCATTTCTGACCCCCTTCCCTGTTTCTTCCTATCTTCAAGTCTCTGCACAAGGTCTTCCTGATGTCTGTCACACCTCTACAGGTGCCACCCTCCACCTGCTATGCCACACACAGGACAGGCTATCTAGAGGTTACTTCCATCTCTGAATTCCTTCACACCAGACCCATGTGCCCCTTATTAAAATTGGAGATCACCTCATGGCCTAAGAAATGGCCTCAGTGTCTCATTCATTCACTCCTCACTCAAGCCATAACACACATTTATCAGGATCCTAGTGAACCAGGTGCTTAGAATATGGAGCCAAAAGAGAGTTTCTATCTTCAAGGCAACCACCATCCATGGGAGACAAAACACTGAGGTCATTCTTTGGACTATGATGTAGTCTTCAGTACCCCTTATGTCCTGGAGGATTTGAAGGGACCACAAGACCAAGGACTATTGCGAACTCAAGCTGAGAGAGAGAGAGAGAGAGAAGAGGGTTCCCTGAAGCCCACCCTCTGAATTCCTAATTAGGGCCTTATATTCCAGAAATCCAAAGATCTCTCTAATCAGAATCCATGTTTCCTTCACTCTAACCCAGTCCCCAGTAGTGTTGGAATCCAAAAAGAGAAAAAGAAAGACAGGGCAGCATTCTCCTTATCACTGGTAGGGGAGAGCAGGGTGCAGACCTCTGTCTGCTTGGTGTGGCAGCATCTAAAACAAAGCAGAGCTTCCCGGGCCTCATCAGCCAGGACATAAGTTTCTGGTTCCTGCTTTTCAGAAAGATCCCGTGTGCTACCTAAAGAAGGCATTTCTCCTGGTACAAGACATAATGGAAGACACTATGCGCTTCAAAGACCACACCCCCAATGCCGATGCCATGGTAACGCTCCAGGAACTTCCTTTGTCGCTCAAGAGTTGCTTCACCAAGGATTATGAGGAGAATGATAAGGTAGGAGGGTCCCGGAGATGGGAGCATTGAGAAGGGGTGGAGGGCAGCTGTGGAGGTACCACCCAAGCCCACATGTGCCAAGTGCATCCACCCATCTTGACTCATGAGATTGCCCACTCACTCTCCCGTTCATTCATTCATTCCACAAACCTTTAGTAAGAACTTATCAGGAAGAGGTGCAGTGTTGGGCCTTGATGATGTACTTGGAGCAAGAAACTAATGGTTCCTACCCTCGTGGAGCTTACGGTCAAGGGTTGTGGGCAGTTGTTCAAACAGTGACACAGGGAATATGATTACAAACCAGCAGGACTGTTTTTTTTCATTTGACAAATAGCTATTGAATTCCCATTGTGTACCAGGTGCTGTTCTTGACACCAGGAAATAGCTGTGATCAAAACAGGCGAAAATCCCCACCATCATGGAGATAACATTTGGGGTGGTGGTGGTAAGGATGATGAGACAGTCAAAAAAAATACACAAGTCAAGTATGTAGTACAGAGGATAGCAATAAATGCACTAGAGAACATTAGGCCAGGGAAGGGAAGATCTGAAGGAGGTGAGAGAGTGTGGGCCATGAGCAAGAACCACAGGCCTCGGGAACTCTGCCCTAAATGGGAGTGCAGAAGGAGAGACAAAGTAGACTCCTGAGTAAGAAAATATGAATGACAGCTCCAGAGATAAAATATGAGTTAGAAAGCAATGAGACCAGAAGAACAATCCAGAGCAGAGAATGTTGAACACAAGCCCTACAGTGAACAGGAAGGTCTGCATTTAAGAACCCAAAGGGCAGTTAACACAGCCAAGGTGTAAGAGTGTCCTAGTGAGCAGGAGTATGGCCAAGGAGGTTTTGGAGCACTAAAGTGTGGGGGAGGAGAAAAAGCAGGAACCAGACCATCTGGGTGTCAAAGATGCAGGATTTTGTCTGAAGTGCAAGGGGAACCATTGTGATAGGCAAGTGACTTGAGATATCTCAAGTCGAGACCCTTCTGGTTGCTGTGTGGAGAGTGGGCTATAGGGAGCACGAATGGAAGCCAGGAGGTGAGCAGGAGGAGGCCAGCCCAGAGGTAGTGGTGGCTTGACTCAGGGTGGTGCAGGGAAGATGGAGGCCAGTGATGATGTTCGGGTGGGCATGGGCCAGGCAGGACTTGGCTCATGTAGGGGATGTAAGGAGCTGAGGGAAGGGAAGAGTCAGGAAGACTGCATCTTGGGCACCTGGCTCTTTCAGGGATGTTAAAATGGGGACATCGGTGGGCAGGAGCAAGTCTGAGGAAAGAGCTTAGTTCAGTTTGGGACACATCAGACTGGAGATGCTGAGCCGGCAGCTGAAGGCCCTGGTTCTGAATGTGACTAGGGATACACAGACTTAAGAGGTTTGGCTTGGAGGTCACCTGTGACGGCACAGGACTGTATAGCATTGCCCACTCTGAGAAGAGGAACAGGCCCAGAAACTCCAGCACTTAAAGGTCAAGCAGAGGAAGGGGTACTTGGAAAAAGAGATGTAGCTAAAGGGAGAGTGCAGTTGAGGGAGGGAAAAAAAAAATCCTTAATAAGAAGCATTGAATCTGTGGCTTGTCAGCATCAAGGTTCTTGAGAGTCACTTGGGGAGCTTGTTTCAAATGCAGATTCCCAGCACCCCCTGCCCAGAGTCTGCTTCACTGAGTCCAAGCATGAGTCTGGGAATATGCATTCCCCATCCACCACTGAGACAAGGTTCTCTGGCCCATGTGGGTAGGCACCCATCTACCCGATAAGACAGCCAGTGAGTACTGAGGGTGGGTCCCAGGAGGGAGGGAGCCACTGGAGCCGGAGGAGCAGCCCCCAGCAAAAGTATGCTAGAGGGATTTGGAGCTGGGGTGGCGGACACCCTCTGCTCGGACAGGCTGGGCATCAGGTCTTCTGGCTGCAGATTCTTGCTTTATGAAGTCTGAGGTGAGGTGTGAGGAGACAGTGAAGAGAGAGGAAATGACAGCTAGCTTCTTTGCCTTCCTTTCAGCAGCCTGGGGACAGGGTTTCTGTTCTGACTTCATAGATAGGGAAGGAGCCCACACAGGACAGTTGGTTTGGCTGCTGTCACCTATCTGATGGAGCTGAGCCCAGGTCTTCTCATTCATAATTGATCTGTAAACATTTATGTCAGGCCTACTGTGCACAGATCAGGGGGATTCAGGGACACCCTCACGGACTTCACGGAGTACTTCGTATTTGGGAGTCAAGTAGACCACTGGTGGAAGGCAGGGGTGTGTGTGGCATGGCCTGGAGTGAAAGAAGCTTTGGGCCCAGTACTGGACCCTGAGGAATTCCAGCTTTTAGAAGTCAGGAACCTGATCAGGAGAGTAAGGAGCAGCTGGAGAGGTGAGAGGAAGCCCAGGAGAGTGGAGCTTCCAGAGCTCCAGTGGGTACGGGAGCTTGGCCCATGAGCAGAGAGACAGATGGGCTCAGCAGACAGGCCTGAGGAGTCCTCAGTCCTCTCTCCAAAAACATACCAACACAAGTAGAGGACCCTCAACTCCCGTGGCTACCCCATTGCATTCTCCACAACATAGCGAGATGATTTTTCTAAAAGCGGTCTTACCCCACCACCCACCTCCCCAACAACTGCTCACAGTTCTTTTGCTTTATGAATAATATTAAAAGTTCTTGACATGGTCTACAAGGCCCTATAGGCCCCCACTGAACTCTCTCTAGTTGTGTCTCTTGTCACTTTCCTCCTAGATGACAGTATGTTAGCTACTCCAGCCTTCTTTCAGGTTTTGGTATTTCATATTTTTTTCTGCATCAGGAACTTTACACAGCTTGTTTTTTTTTTTTCCTGCCAGGGCAGGCAGCTCTTCTCAACCATGTCTCCTTTCCTGGTTAACTCTTGCTCATCTTTCAGTTGGTTCCCTGGGGAAGTTCTCCTTGAACTCTCGTTTAGTTCTCTTTTATTACACCTTCAGATTGCTCAGAACTTCCTCCTGGGTCTTACTGCACTTTTAGCAATTTGTGTAGTGCCAGCACCCCCACTGGACACCGTGTCCAGCTCAGCTACCTCCCTCTTTCTCATTATGTGATGCTCAGGTAATTACCATGTACCTGGCACATAAACATATATCGGATGGATCTGTGAATGAATGACATGCTTCATAACATCAGGACTGATTCTGCTGCAAACTAGAGTAGAACCAAGGGAGAGAACAAAAAGGGAAAAGAAGACTGATGTGAGAAAGGCCAAGGGAATTTAATAAACAAGAAAGTGACACAAGACTAGTAGTCTCAAAAGAGGTCCCTGCTCTCCTTCCAGGCTTGTGTCCGAACTTTCTATGAGACTCCCCTCCAGTTGCTGGAGAAGATCAAAAACATCTTTAATGAAACAAAAATTCTCCTTGAAAAGGACTGGAATATTTTCAGCAAGAACTGCAACAATAGCTTTGCTGAGTGCTCCAGACGAGGTAGGCACCGGATGGACCAGCAAGTGTGAGGGGGTGTGGAAGGTGGGACGTGGGCCTGGAGGGAGCCCTGGGAGGCAGCCTGTGTTTCTCTGTGCGTAGATGTGCTTTTTCGTGTACATATGTGGCTTTATGTACCTCGGGGTCCTAGACACATGTCTTTTCTGACATATGTGTGCATGTACACCACTGTATGTTTGCATGTGGAGGCATTGAGAAGGCCTGTGCTGGTGGCTGTGAGGTCAGGGAGTAACAGAGGGGACCCCTTGGGAAAGCTCTATTGGCATGGAAGCTTTTCCCCTAGGCTCTGCAGACTGGCTGAACATATGGGGTTTCTGTGGAGAGAGCATTTGGGAATTAGGGTTCTTGCTCCAGAAGCCCGGCTACAAATCACCAGGATACCCTGGCTCCAGAAGTTCCCAGGATTCCTTGGGTGTCCCCTCAAGGGACAAGGCTGGAGTTGAAGTCTGAACATCATTCCAACTGTCCCACTGTTGGCTCAGCTGTACAACTGTGTACCCTGCGTGTCCTCATCTCTGCGTCCTGTGCCACGTGTGCCCTCCTACTCAACCTTGCTCCCCAAGGCAGGGGCTGAGGCCTCGCAACCTGCCAATGGCCAAGTCCAGTTTTGTGGTTTCAGTCCTGAGGCTTCAAGCTGATCATGTTCCAGCCCCAGTCTGTTCCTGTCTGTGGCCATGGCTGTGTGGCTCCTGGGTATGCATGAACTAGTGTCTTGGGGGCTTCAAAGTGTCTTTTATTGGTCTGGGAGGCCACTGCTCCATTTCCTGGCCTGGCTGCTGCTGAACCTTGACTTGGCCTCCAGCCTTTTTCACTCTGTCCCCCAGTCTGGGCGTCTATCCTCTGCTCTTTGCTCTGCCTATGCCACCCTGCACGTTGTGCCTTCTCTGTCTGAGCCCTGTGTCATGAACATCTAATCCTCTCCTCTTCTCAGCCCCAGGGCTGAGTTAGGAGATGAGGGACCCCCCCCCAGACCCATATCCCCTCCTGACCCCTCTGGGGGAGCTATGCCAGAGGCTGGTGACTCTATCTCCTTTCTGTCTTTCTCTCTCCCTTTTCTGTGGTTCTTTCAGATGTGGTGACCAAGCCTGATTGCAACTGCCTGTACCCTAAAGCCACCCCTAGCAGTGACCTGACCTCTGTCTCCCCTCAGCAGCCCCTCACCCCCTCCATTGCCCCAATGGCTGGCTTGACCTGGGATGATTCTGAGGGGACAGAGGGCAGCTCCCTCTTGCCCAGTGAGCAGCCCCTTCGCACAGTGGACCCGGGCAGTGCCAAGCAGCGACCACCTAGGAGCACCTGCGAGAGCCTCAAGTCACCAGAGACCCCAGGCCTTGAGGACAGGCCCACTGGGGGTTTACCACAGCCTCGCCCCTCTGCTGGAGCCCCCATCCCTGGGGTGGAGGACATTCTTGATTCTGCACTGGCCACTAACTGGGTCCTAGAAGAGGCCTCTGGAGAGGCTAGTGAGGGCCCTGGACCCCAAGGGGCAGAGCTTTCCCCCTCCAGGCCAGGAGGGGGCAGTGTCCAGGCAGAGATGGCCCGACCCAGAGACCTCCTCTCAGCATCTTCTTCACTCCCTATGTCAACAGAGGACCAACAACCAATGGATGTAACTGGCACCCCCTTGCCTAAGGTGGACCCCATGAGACCCACTGGCCAAGCCCAGAGTCATGCCCCTGAGAAGACAGACCGCTCATCCATGCTGCCCAGAGACCACCAGGAACCAAGCTCTCCCTGGATCTCCTCACAGCACCCCCAAGGCTTCAGCAACCCCTCCACCCTCTCTGCTCAGACACGGCTTCCCAGAAGCCACTCCTGGGACATTGCACCGCCCCTTGGGGAGCTGGAAGGCAAGAGGAGCACCAGGGATCGGAGGAGCCCCGCAGAACTGGAAGGAGGACAAGCAAGTGAGGGGGCAGCTGGGCCCCTGGCCCATTTTAACTCCATTCCTTTGACTGACACAGGCTATAAGGAATCCTCCGACCCCCAGTCCCCTGAGTTTGTCTTCCACCTGTTGGTGCCCAGCATCATCCTGGTCTTGCTGGCTGTTGGTGGCCTCCTGTTCTACAGGTGGAGGCGGAGGGTAAGGAGGCCCTGGTGAGGAGAGAGGGCATCTCACAGGGGCAGGGCAGAGGCTGGGTGTGGGTGCAGGAATGGAGGGCACTCCGAGTTCTGCTTGGGTACTTCAGATGCTGAGAGATGGGACCTGAGGGAGCCAGAGGGTCAGAGTGGACACAGAGGGTTACTTCAGAAAGGTTCCAACCATGAAGTCAATGGGACCAAAGGGACCAAAGCAGAAGAGAATGGGAGAGAAGATTCTTGGGCTGACAGCAGGGTGACAACCAGGCAGGAGGGGGAAGAAGGAGCTCCATACTGTGCATGGGAGCTCTTTAGAGCCTGGGGCGTGAGGACCGTAGTGGGCAGGCTGCATAGGAGAGGAAGAAGAGGGGGGTCTGGGCAGTGGTGAGGCCTCAGGAATCTTCCCTGACCCTGTGAATAAACCCCACATTGAGGCATTGGCAGGGGGAATCTTACAACTCTCCCATTAATGTCTAGGGCACCCCTGTCTCCCCCCTTCCCCAGCTCCTCAATGAGCCTGCTCTTTTCTCTCCTCAGAGCCATCGAGAGCTTCAGATATTGGATTCTCCCATGAGGCAGCCAGAGGGCAGGTGAGAGTTGGGGTGGGGCTCTGGGAGGCACTGGAGGTCCTGGCTTTTGATTTGTTTCCACTCTAGATTGCAGGGAGGGGTGTCCTTCTCCCATTTGCTCTAAGGAAATGAAACTACAGCACAGGATGGGAGAGGAAGGGTCTCCCTTCCTAGATATCTGGGCCTTTACCTGATTTCTTCCAAGAGACAGGCACTTTGGGGTTTTCTAAATCTCTGAGGGTTGGAGCACATATGTGGAATTGGGGGTGAACTTAGCCGGTCCCTTCACTCCTCTGTTCCTGCTGAAGTCTTATGCTAGCCCCCTGTTCTTCCTGCAGCCCCCTGGCCCAGGATGAGGACACACAGATGGAATTGCCAGTATAGAGGGAATTCTAAGGTAAGATTCTGATTTTGATCTCTTTCCACCCTTAAAAAGAAGTACCCCCTTCTTCAGTCACCCTTACCTGCTACTGACACCATGATTCGCCTGAGGCCCACACACTTGACTCCCTGTCCTCGGTTCTGCTGCCTTCATCACTAAGTGGAGCCAACCCTCTCCCTTCCCAGCCTCAGGGCTCCCCTTGCCCCTCCATCTCCTCCACTCCACCTGAGGCCAGGTACTGCTACCTCTGCATTAGGCTTTCAAGTCATCTTCACTCCCAAAGCAACCCAAATCCTCTTCCTCTAATGTGGCTTTTATGAGGTCTTCACCCTCCTGGGGAATTTTCGGTAGCCCTGCATGGTCAGCCACCTCACACCTAACCTTCTCAGCTTGGCTTCCAAGCCCTTCCAGCAGCCACCCTCTGCACCTCTTGTTGACCACTTCCCAGCCGGAGCTCCTCCCCAGCCAAGGCCATTCCTACTCCTTGCTTTTAGAATCATGGCACCATAGAGCCTTAACCTTGGGAGGGCTCTCAGAGGTCATTTGTCCCAGTGTCCCACCCCCAAGAGGCCAACCCTCTCTGCATCCCCAGCAGGTAGTCAACCAGCTTTCTGTCACACACTCCCAGTTCTAGACAAGCTCCATGCCTAGCAAGTCTATGGTGTCTTCAAAGAACACAGGGAGAAGCCTTCCTTGTGTTGGGCAAAACTGCCCTCCCTGTCCTCTCCTCACTGGTCCTCCTCCTCTTCTCATAGAACCCTCAGATATTTAAAGTTAACCATCCACGTTCCCTTTAAGAATTCTCTATGCTAAGTGTGGCCAAGTCCCTCAAACATTCCTTATATGATATGGTTTTCAGACCCCTCACCATCCTGGACACTCGTTTGTCAATGTCCCTCTGAAAATGTCGCGCCCAGCCCTGGACACAGTACTCCAGATGTTGTCTGACCAGCTCAGAGTACAGTGGGACTGTTACCTTCCTTGATCTGGACAGTATTCTTCTATTCGTGCAGATTAAGATTGCATTAGTTTTTAACAACCGCATCATACTGTTGTCATATGTGGAGCTTGTGGTCTATTAAAAATCCCTAGTTCTGTTTTCCATGAACCTGTGTCCAACAGACCTGTTCCATCCCATGCTTGGACAGCTTAACTTTTTAAGTCAAAGCACAAGAGTTTATGCTCACCCTTGGTAAAACCACCTTGTTGCTTTCTCCCCATCCCCCAAACCTACTGAAAGTGTTTTAACCTTGATTCTGTCATCGGCGTAGCCCTCTCAGTTGTGTCCCCTGCACATTGATGAGTGCTTTCTGTTGTCCTTGCCCATGTTGTTGGTAAAGATGTGACCTGATTTACTTCCCCCTGAAACTGCACCCATAATCAGCCCATCAGGAGCGCTTCCCAGGTGTCTCTACACCCCTCTGGTTGCTCCTTTAATTCATATCCCTTCTGCTCTTTTGTACCTGGTTAATACTATATGAATTTGCACGTGTTTGGATGTTGTTTTTATACATTTTAAAATCTTATTTTACATGTATATGTACATTCTGCACAGCTCAGAAGATTGTAAGCCCCTTGAGGGCAGGGACTGTCTTCCACTTTTTTTTTTTTTTTTTTGCATTTCCTTTTCCATGCCAGGTTCTAGTATAAAGAGGGCCCTATCATATTTGCCAAAATTTCAATAAATGTTGACTGGCCAGCTTCAGGGCTGACTCACCAATTTACCCTGGTCAGCTGTCTAACTGACCCACCTCTGACTAACCAATTAACCAGTTAACTAATCAATTCTGACAAACCAGCTAATTAAGTAACTCTGACTAACCAACCTACTACTGGTGACTGCCTTAGCTAGCTGGTTATTGATTGAGGAGCTTACTGGTTACTGACTGATTTGCTGATTGACTGGTTGGCTGGCTGACTAGTTGGGTGACCCACTCAATTTTCCCGTCACACCCCTTGCCAGACCCAAGCAAATGCCTTAGGGCATGTGTAGGATGACAGGTCTGGGCCCCTCCTTCAGAGATCAGAGATCTGGAATATGCCCCAAATCAGGAAAATTCATTTGTAAAGGGGCAGGAGGTAGCAGCATATCTGGAATCCTGGGGTCCCTCTTGTTAGCAGCATGGGCTGAGATAGGTAAATGGGTCAGGACTGTGAGTAGGACCCAGGCCCCTCAGGAATGGTAAGCAGAAGATGGAGGTCCAGGGGGATTTGTGGCTCCTTTTTGTACAGGTCACCCATTTCCCTGGGGTCTTGGCCCTCTGCCCTGACTCCTTTGTACTCCTGTTCCCCTTTCCCTGCTGCCTGCTCTCAGGCCTGTCCAAGCCTTCCTCTTCTTCCCTTCAAGATTCCACTCAGAGAAGGAATCCAGGACATGGAGACCCATGTGGCCCAGTGGGTCCAGCCCTAAGGTGGTCTCCATATCAGGCACCAAGAGCCCCTGGGAAATTGAGTACCAGTGCCCAACTGCTGCTCTCATGAGGGCAATGGAAGTGGGAAACAGAGGCACCTATAAGGGACACAGAGATGCCAAAGCTCAGATACCAGCATCTTAGTCCAGGGAACTAGGAGATGGAGCCCTGGGCTAAAGCATGCCCTTTTGGTCCTTCTTCTCTCCTAGACCCTAGGGCCTATGGCCTGGCTGTACCAGCATGGCTCATGTCCAATATAGTTCCCCCTTCTCTCTCCTCTAGAGCATGGGAATGGGCTGGGAGCCAGAGGCTGTAGGTTCCATCTTCCCTCCTTACCCATCATAGGCTTGGCCAGTAGGGCCATGGACATTAGGGAGGGAGGCACCACTCAGGGTCCAAAGTCAAACTGTTGGATGGAGTCCAGGGGATTTCTGCTCTGGGAACAAAGCGTTCTGAGGATGCTGGGCATGGGGACAAGGATGGGGGTGGGGGTGGGGAGAGAACAAGGCCCTGGCTCCCATGGATGATGCAGGAGGCAAGTCTCTAGGCCCATGCCGGAGGAGGCTGGGTTGCTCACGGGTTCACTTGCACAAGGGCAGGGTGGGAGTTTACTCTTCCTGGCATTGCTTGTAAATGCTTCCTGCCCAAGTTCTTCCTCTTCAGTTACCTTTGTATAAGTATCATCTGTGAGGACCCTCTCTGATGAATGTTGTAGAAGTAGAAGAAGAGTTCTTTGCTACAGTTAGGGGCATCCATGGTTCATTGAACCAAGGCCACTAAGACAGTCTTGCCTGAGAAGGGGTCTAAGGACACTCAAGAGCCTCCTCCCTGATCCCATAGGGCCCCTCTGCTTGAGCAATGACCCTCCCCAATCCTTGCCCAGACCCCAACCAGGCTCTGTACCTCCCCTGTGGTCCCTGGTTCCCCAGGAGGAGGTAGGAGGTGAGGCCAGTCTGGCCAGAGGCCTGGGCTGCTGCCAGGGAAAGCTGCCTTGTCCCTCTGCGGTGTCTGGGGTGGCTGGGAGGGTGAGGGAAGGGATGGGAGGAAGTCCTGCCCACAGGAATGTCACCCCTCCCCCAGCCACATCCTCAGCGACCCTCCCCTCACTCCCACCCGACTGACCAGCCTTCCCTTTTCTCCCCTACAGCGGGGCGCACATGACTATCTCTCCATGGGAGGAGACATCGTGGAGCGTCCACCACCACCCTCCCTAGCCATCCCCCTGGGAATGTGGCCTGCCTATCACCAGAGCTCCTGCCTGCCAGGACTGGACCAGAGCAGCCCAGCTGGGGTTCCTCTGCCTTGACCCTCAAGACCCTCAACTGACTGAGAGAGGGGCTGGAGGACGCCCCACACTGCCGCTATTTATTGTGGGCCCTGGAGGCTCCATGCGCTTGAGGAAGGCTGGCGAGCCCGTCTCAGGACCCTTTCCCTCAGGGGCTACACCCTCCTCTTACTCTTCTCCAAGCCAGCACCTGGGCCAGGGACCCAGCCACCTGTGGCATATGGGAGACCAGTGTGGCCACTGAGGAGTGGAAGAGCCCTGCACCCAAAGGACCCATCTAGTGCCAAGGGATCCTAACATCTACAGGTGTGGACCTGTCTCCAGAGAGAGAGGAGCCTGTGATTTGCAGGGCGGGACAGCGTGGCCTCATTTCCCGGAAAGGTGTGCAGCCTAGAAGCCGGGAAGAGGAGGCTTCTGGCTGTTTGCACTGACAGCTGGGGGGGTCTACACCCTCTACTTGCCTGAGTGCCCTCTGCCTGTTGCCAGGTGGCGAGGGGAGGCCAGCCCTGCCCTCAGGACCTGCCTGACCTGGCTCATGATGCCAAGAGGGGGACTGGGCTCTGGCCTCTGCTCCTCCTTCCCTCTAGCTCCTGCCAGAACGTCTCTGGGAAGCCATACAGAGGCTCCCGTCATGAAGGAAGCCATTGCACTGTGAATACAGAACCTGCCTGCTGAACAGCCTACCCCGTCCATCCCCACAAGTGAGCATCCATCCATCTGGACCTCTTCCCCTCCATCCTCTCCCCAGCTTCCTGCACTGAGCTGGTCTCACCTGTCGACTGAGGGAGTCCCTAAGCCCTGACCCTCTCCTGACCCAGCCTTCAACTTCCCGGGGTGGAGCGGGGTGGGAGAACTGCCTGGGCCACCAGCCAAAGCTGGTCTTTGGGCTGTGTTGTTGGCCCAGGTTTCTGCATCTTGCACTTTGACATTCCCAAGGGGGAAGTGACTAGTGGGAGGGAGAAAGGGAGGGGAGGCAGAGGCAGAGAGGCTCCGGGGAGAGCTCTGACTGAAAATGGGTCTTTAAACATGGGTATACCCCTGAGGTTGGGGAGCTCTCTGTACCCCAACCCCTCAGCCCAGTCTTCTTCCCCTGCTGTCAGCAGGTATGGGGTGCTAGGCTGTACTCCAGACCCACATGCATAGCTCCCAGCTCCCATCCCCCTCTGGCCCTTCTTTCTCCTGACCCCAGCGATACTCTCCAGCTCTCACCCCACCATCTTTAGCCAGGCAAGCCAGGGCTGGAGAGAGACCAGGAGGCCCAAGTATCTACTTCCGACTCCACCCTGAGGACCTCCGCTTCCTGGGCTAACCTCTGGCCATGGCTCTGAGACCTGGGCAGTGGGTGACAGGGCTGTCTATTGCCCCTTGATGCTGCTGTGTCCCTCCTTTCCTAACTCTCTGGGCCCTCCACTGGTCTGGCTGCTAGGCCCATGACCTTCCCTTCCTGCCAGAGAGAATGAGGGTCTGCAGCCCCTGCTACCCATCTCCTGATGCTGACAGCCGAAGGAAGGGCAGCAGAGAACTTTCTCATGGGGCTCATCCTTTTAGTCACAGACTCCATATTCCATGCTAGAAAATACATATTTAAAAATGGAAGGAAAAAACAAAAAACAAAAAAAGGCATTCCTCCCTTCCCCCTCCACCTTAGACATATAGTTTTTTCAAGGTCAAAAAAAAAAAAAAAAACCCAACCCATTGCAGAAGCTCTTTGTGGGCACTTGGTTACACCGGAGCAGGAGGAACCCCAGAGCCACCTCTGGGTGTCCCCTCCCCCGGCTACCTGCACAGGAACCCCTACTTTCCTCTGAGAAAGCCCAGAGGGGACATTGGCTCACGAACTGTGAGATTGCGTTTTTATACTTGGAAGTGGTGAATTATTTTATATAAGGTCATTTAAATATCTATTTAAAAAATAGGAAGCTGCTTATATATTTAATAATAAAAGAAGTGCACAAGCTGCCATGTGTGAGTCATGGGAAAAGTTTTTGGGGTGTGGGTGGCAAAAGTAGGGGTGGGCGGGCAGCAGCTTTTTCTGAGGTACTTGAGGAAGGAGGGCTGTCTCCAAGTTTGTGTTGTTACTGAAACCTCCTGTACTATTGCTGTCCCAAACATTCATCTGCATATCTGTTTAATAGGAAAATGGGCAGAAAGCAGCCAAACCTCAGGCCTGGCCACGGCCCCTGTTCCAGCCCAGCCTGGGAAAATGGCTGGTGGGGCTCTGTCCAAGGGCCCCAGGGCCCTGCAGGAGGCTCCTTGACCATTGAACCCTGCTGTCCAGGGGATAAGGAACTGGCCAGGTCCTAGCAGCTGCTGAGGTGAATGAGTCTCTGGACTTTGGAAGTGGGTATGGCTAGCAGGGTTAGAAGCCTACCTTCTGTGTCTGTGTGAAGATCTTTCTAAAGGACTGATCTTCCTACAGGAAGTAGAGGGGAGGCCAAGGATGTGGCCTTCCAAGAAGGAAGGTGCGCTAGGTGGGCCAAGCAACTGAAGGCCCAGTATGGCTCAAACATATACCCGAGGCAAGGCTGAGACGAGAGGCCTTCCCATCTCTGAGAGTGTGGTGGACAAAATTGTAGTTCCCGGGTTCTTAACCTTGGCTTTCCAGAGACTCCCCTGGGTTGTTTCCAAAAATCCTAATACCCAAGCCCCTTCCCAGATCAACAAAATCAGGATCTCAAGGGTGAGCCTCGGGTACCAGGCATCAGAATTTTTAAAAGACATCTCAAGTGATTCAAAGGTAACCCAGGGTGAGAAGCAGCCAAAGCTATACTGTCAGATATGGTGGCTATTTAAGCTTAAATTTATTAAAATGAAATGAGTAAGCATTCAGTTCCTCAGCTGTACTAGCCACATTTCAAGGCTTGACAGTCACATGTGACTACCCTGTTGGACAGCACAAAATGCAACATTTGTATCATCACAGAAATTGATGGGACACCTAAGGGCTTGGGAGGCTGAGGCAGATGGCTTGCAAGTTCAAAGCCAGCCTCAGCAATTTAGCGAGGCCCTAGGCAACTTAGACTCTGTCTCTAAATAAAAAATTAAAAGGGCTGGGAATGTGGCTCAATGGTTGATCATCCCTGAGTTCAATCCCTGGTATAAATAAAGAGAAGAAAGAAATTGATGGGAGAGTGCTGCCCAAATAACTAAGTCTCCTGAGTCCCTAGACTTAGGGGATCTAGGTTATAGAACTAGGATTGGCACCAATCAAACATAGCCAAGAACTAAGTATTCAGGGTCTCTGTCACCCCTTTCTATGTGATTGCCTTCCCCACCCGGTCCCTTACCATTTTTCTTAAGCTAGCTCTTCCCTTTCCATCCAAAACTCCTCAGAAAAGACTTTGAAGAAACTTACTCACATTCAGTCCTTCAAAACCCAACTCAAGGGGCTGCGGTTGTAGCTCAGCAGTAGAGCATTTGCCTAGCATGTGTGAGGCACTGGGTTTGATCCTCAGTACCACATAAAAATAAATCAATGAAACAAAGGTATTGTGTCCATCTATAACTAAAAAATATAAATAAAAATATTTTTCCAAAAAGTCTCCTCTGAGAAGCCTCCCTAGCCTGACTCAGGCTCCTGTGATACGCCCAAGCTTAGCTGCTTCCTCCCCTATGCTCCCAAAGACTTGGGATCTGTTTATCTGTCCAACTGTTCCACCAAATCATGAGTGGACTCTACCAGAAACTTCCGTGTCTCTCCTCACAAGCCAGTGCCTGAGAGTAGCTGGCATACAGTAGGTGTGCCATAAACGTGGATCAAATGGTTAGTACTGAATACATGAATAAAGGCATGGCAGTGCAAATTCTGATCAGATTTAATTGGTGGCCTTCTGCAGGGGTCTTACTGGCATTATTCAATGGAATTAATACCTAGTAACTATAGTTCAATGAGCAGATGGAGGAAGTATTTTCAGCAGAGATGGCTCATTGGCTTCTGATGGAGACAGGGCTTAACAGGTTATAACCCTGCTTGAGTTACAGTGCTGTGGTGAATGGAAAGCCTTTCAGCAAGGATTAGGGGAAAATAAGTAAACAAACAAAAATATAAAACAAAAGCCATGTCCCTTGCCTGCCTTCCCAGAAGGCCCAGAAAGGCCAGAGACTGGTAGCAGGCCTTTCCCTGGGTTTGACCTGCTACGGGGGCTGCTTGGGAAGCCTGGTACTTACAGAGCACTCATCACATTGCATTCAGAACAAGAGAACTCGGGTCCTTGGCTTGGCTGTCTTATTGCCCATTTGTACAACCTTGGGTAAGCATTTAACCTCCCTGAGCCTCAGGTTTCTCAATGTAGAACTACTTTAAGAGTTCAAACCAGGCATACCAGCATGGAGGTTCAAAGTGACAAACCACAAAAAAAGTAACTTTTGGACTCCAAAGGGCTGTTCCTGAACAGCCTTTGTCAGCTGGTCCTACAGCACCAGGCCAGACAGCTCCCTCTAGGCAAGCACTGTGGAACCAGATGCTGCCAGGGCCTGGCCCCTCTCTGACGAAGATAGCAGAGCTAGGTGCTGTGGCGGGAATGAAGACTATGATACCATGTGGCTAAGGGTTTCTGACTGGAGGGAGGGACCCGTAGGAAGCTGGAGGGGAGAGGCCCTGGGTTGCGGTGGGTGCTGGTTAGCAGCAGGGTCAGGAACTCTGGTTTGGAGTATATAAGCAGAAGGGCCCAGCCAAACCTCTAAACCCCTATCCGGCCAGAGGCAGGAAAATGAATCAGAGGCGACCAGGAAGAAGCCTGAGGTTAACCTCGTGCAGACTGTGGGCCATGGTGAGGAAGGGGTCGACGGGGGCACTGGAGTCTGGGCGAGTTTGGTGGGTGTTCCAGGACCCATGAACAAGGAGCTAAATTCATTTGTCTGAGGAGGGGGGGTGAACAGTGCCTAAGCTGCCCTGGGAAGTTCCCCTCCCATGCCCCACAGAGGGCCCCTCTGCCAGAGCAGCACTTTTGTCCCCTGGTTTTTCTCTTTAGTTTCTCAGAGTGAATGACCAGGGAGGGAATGACCAGGCTCTGCTGCCCTGGATGCTGGCACTGCTGAGGGAGCAGGGTGGCCCTGCCAGCCTGGAAATCCCCCTGGCAAAATGGCTGAATGCAGAGGCTTGCTGTCTCCCCCTGCAGAGGCAAGAGCCACTGTGTCTGGGTCTCTAGTCTAGGACCACAGGAAAGCCCACAGTCTGACCCCATCACCCCATCTATAGTCAGCTCCACACTGACTCAGCTCCATGGCAGGGTGACTTGGAGCGGTGGTGGGTGACAGACACTGCAGTATCTTGAGCTCCACAGAGACAATGCCCAGGCAAGCAAGGGCCTGATGGGCACTGGGTGACTCTGTGCCTCCCTGAGGAAAAACAACTGAACATGGCAAAGAGATTCTAGGCAGCAGAGGGCAAAAATGTCACCACGTGCATTCTTTGTGCAGACTTGCTGGGAGGAGCCCAAGAAGCAGCACAGGATGTTTCGTCAGCTTCCCAGAGTTTCCTAAGCAGCACTCAGGAGGTGGATGACCATGTCTGCTAAACAGAAGGGAGCATTCGAAGACATGATAAAGGCAGCCAAGGCCCATCATGGAAGAGAAATGGAAACCTATATCCCTCCTACGGGGGAAACAAAAAGGAAGCTCAGGAATCCTGTGCACCCACGAAGCCTCCCTTTGGCTTTCTTCTTCTGTTCTGAACAAGAACATCCAGTCTACCTATCAGCGATGCTGCAAAGAAACTGGCAGAGATGTGGCACAGCACTGCCGCAGATGACAAGCAGCCTCATGGAAAGAGGGCTGCTGAGCTGAAGGAAAGATGTGAAAAGGACATTGCTGCCCGCTGAGCTTAGAGAAAGCCGGACACAGCAAAGAAGGGAGTCATCACGGCTGAAAAGGGGCAAGAAAAAGAAGGAAGAAGAGGAAGATGATCAGATGACAACAAATAAGTTAGTTCTAGTGCATTCTTTTCCTTGTCTATAAAGCATTTAACCCCCCGTCAACTTCCCCAAAAATTGAGATGATGGGATGTGTAAGATTTCTATTTTAAACTGTGCAGTGAAATTAACACACGAATGAATGTGTCTTTAGAAAGCCCTACCAAGTGGTATTTTCAATTAGCAATTAACTAACCTTGCCTGGTAAAGTGTGGGGGTTATTAACTGGCATGGAGATTTAAAGCAGGTTCTTGTCACAGCATTATATATTATATATAGGATGGTAGTTTTTCATCTTCATTGTCTCTGGTATAGCTTATACAAAGTAATTGTTGTTCTGTTAACTGAATACCACTCTGCAATTGCAAAAAAAAAAATCACCTGTTTTGTTGATATTCTGAATATCTCTAAGTAAATGCAGTTTTTTTTTTTTTAATTGAAGACAAAAAGAAGAGGTTTGGGGTTGAGGTGATAGAGGAAGCTGGGACAGGGGGGTTGCCAGGTGAATTCTTAGTAGAGAGCTGGGTGACAGCCCTACATTGGATTTTTTTTTTACATTGGATTTTTTTTTTAACTTTTGTGTAGTTGTAGATGGACAGCATGCATTTATTTTATTTGTGTATTTTTTTTATGTGGTGCTGAGGATTGAACCCAGTGCCTCCCATGTGCAAGGCAAGTGCTCTGCCACTGAGCTACAGTCCCAGCCCCTTACATTGGATTTTTTTTTTTAAATTTTTTATTGTTGGCTGTTCAAAACATTACATAGTTCTTGATATATCATATTTCACAATTTGATTCAAGTGGGTTATGAGCTCCCATTTTTACCCCATATACAGATTGCAGAATCACATCAGTTACACATCCATTGATTTACATATTGCCATACTAGTGTCTGTTGTATTCTGCTGCCTTTGAAAGGCAGCAGATTACATTGGATTTTAACTGCTCTGATCAACACGTCCTGCCCAAGACCCCTCTGTTTCATAGTCCTTTGGTGTGTGTGCACCTAGTGAGATCTGTGAAGGCAGAAGCCTCCTCCTCAATCATTCATTTCCCCATTT